AAACAAGAAAAGGATCCCACCATAAAAGCATACTATAGGCCAGTCTCCATAACAAACATAGATGCAAAAATCCTCAATAAGATACTGGCAAACAGAATGCAGCAAATCATCAAGAAGATTGTTCACTATGACCAGGTAAGACTCATCCCAGCAAAGATTCAACATACACAAATCAATAAATGTGATATATCATATTAGCATAGCCAAGGGAAAAGCTCACATGATTATCTCAATGAATGCAGAAAAAATGTTCGACAAAGTCTAACAACCATCCATGATTAAAACCCTATAGGAAATTGGAATAGATGATGTTTGTCTCAATCTGATTAAAGCCATATATGACAAAAAAACAGCCAACATCATACTAAATAGGCCAAAATTGAAAGCTTTTACTCAAAATCAGGAACAAGATAAGGATGTCCACTGTCACCACTCTTATTCAACATAGTTCTGGAAACATCAGCCAGGGCAATTAGACAAGAGAAAGAAATATAAGGATAAAGACAGGAAGAGACATTAAATTATCTATATTTGTGAATGACATGATACTCTACATAAAAGACTTCAAAAACTACACCAAAAGTCTTCTAGGTTTAATGACCAAATTCAGTATCATAGTTGGATATAAAGTCAATGCTCAAAAATTAATACTCATTTTGTATACGATTAACAAACTCACTGAGAGAAATTAGGGAAACAACACCTTTCACAATAACATTCAAAAAATGAAATACCTAGAAATCAATTTAAGGAAGAAAGTAAAAGACCTCTACACTGAAAACTACAGTACTCTGAAAAAGGTGATAGAACAGGATATCAGAAAATGGAGCGATATCCCTTGTTCTTGGGTAGTAAGAAACAATATAGTGAAATTAGCCATACTTCCTATACAAATTTAACGCAATCCCAATCAAAACTCCAACAGTATATCTCACAGAATTAGAGAAAGCAAGCCTAAAATTCCTTTGGAACCAGAAGTGAGTAGAATAGCAAAAAGTTGTGGACAGCAAAGCCAAGGCAGGGAGCACCACAATTCCTGACTTGAAATTATACTGCAAAGCTACTGTGATAAAATCACCATGGCATAGGCAAAAAAAGACCTGAGGATCTGTGGGACAGATCAGAAGATGCAGAAACAGCTCCAGCCGTACTTAGCCACCTTATCTTTGACAAAGAAGCCAAACACCTTCACTGGAAGAAAGATAACCTCTTTCATAAAAGGTGCCAGAAAAACTGGCTTTCCACATGATGAAGATTAAAACTAGACCTGTGTCTCTCACCATGCGCTAAACCAAAGTAATAATGGATTAAAGATCTAGATATTAAAACAGAAACACTAAATCTGCTGGAAGATAGAATAGGTAGAACTTGAAGACATAGGTGTAGGCAGATTTTATGAACAAAATCCAACCACAGAAACTATCACAAGAATCAATAACTGGGATCTCATCTCATTAGGAAGATTTTGCACAGCAAGAGAAACCACAAACAGAGTAAAAAGACAAGCCACAGTGTGGAAAAAATTTTGCCTGCTGTTGCTCAGACAAAGGACTATTATCTAAAATATACAAAGAACCCCAAAAATCAGACCCCTCCAAAAATAGGCATCTGAGATGAATACACACTTCTCAGATGAAGAAATGCCAATGTCAAATAAATATATGAAAAAGTGTTCAACATCACTGGTCATTCAAGAGATGCAAATTAAAACAATGCTGAGATTCCATCTTATCCCAGAAAAAATGGCTACTATCAAGAAACCAACCAATAATAAATGCTGATGGGGCTGTGGAGGAAAAAGAACCCTTCTCCACAGTTGGTGGGAGTATAGACTGGTGAAACAACTGTGGAAATCACTGTGGAGATACCTCAAAAATGGGACCAGAGGTTCCATTCAACCTAGCTATTCCCCTTCTTGGTATCCTCCCAAAAGAATTAAAAACATCATACCAGAGTGATATATGCACACCTATGTTTATAGCAACACAGTTTTGTAATAGCTAAATCTTGGAAGCAGCCCAAATGCCCATCAACTGGTGAGTGGATAAAGAAGATGTGTTTTTTTTTTTTAATACAACGGAGTACTAGTCTTCCATAGAGAAAAATAAGCACGAGATATGACTAGCTAAATGGATGGACTTTGAGACAATACTCTTAAGTGGAATAAATCAGACACACATGTATAAATACTGCATTGTTTCTCTGGTGTGAGGACCCAAAAGTGTAAATAAAGATCAAAATGCATAATAGATATTGTGAAATGGGAAAAAAGTTTCAAATGAGAAGGGAAACTAGAGAGAGGAAAGGGGAAAAAAAGAGAAAAGGAAAAAAATGAAAAAAGAATGAAAAAATGGAAACAAAGATTTTGTAAAAAAGGAGGGGAAGAGGGATTGAAGGGAGCACAGGAGAATAAGAAATACATAATCAAATTATGTTATGTATAAGTACAATTTCCCTACAATGAATGTGGTCTTTAAGTATACCTAAAATGTACCCATAAACTTAATTAATTTAAAAAATAAAGGAGAAAAAACAAAGAAAACTGTGTGGAATCCTAAGGGCTTTACAAAGCTTACAGTTCCTTTATCTGAAAGAAACACTCAACATTTCTTTACAGTTCACTTTTAACTAAATTAAATTGGGGAACCATATTTTTAATTAGGAAAAATATATATAATATAAAATGTATCAACAAAATAATTTTAACTTATAGTTAATTCATTTTAAATATATTCACAGTGCTGTGAAATTAACCTCTAAAATTTTCCATCTTGCAAAACTGAAGCTGTATTCATTAATGGAAACCTTATTTCCTCCTTTCCCAGCATATGATTACCACCATTGCCACTGTGAATTTGACAACTCTAAATCATTCATATAAATGTAATCATGCAGCATTTATGCTATTGTGACTAGTTTAATAACAATGTTCCTGCTATAGCATACCTTAGAATTTCATTCCTTTTTAAGGTTGAATACTACTCCATTCCATGTATATTCCATATTGTGTCTTCTCATTCACAGTTGATGAACACATGGGCTACTTTCACCTCTTCTCAATTGAAAATTGTGCTGCTTTGAACATAGGTGTAAGCTTCTATAATTTTAATTGGCTCTTATTTTGTATCCTCTATTCCTGAAGCCCAATTTACATCTGCAATCATTAATTGTCATGTATCAATTTGACTTGAGTAAGAACCACCTAGCAGGTTAGAAAAGCACAGTTCTAGATGTGCCCATGTATGATTGACATACAGGCTAGTAAATGGAGGGAGGACAACCCAGCCTGAATGGAATGGAAAAAGGAAAGGAAGAAGGAAGTGTCCTTATTTTGGAAGGGTTCAAGTCTTTGCTATCACTTTTGGAGTGAGTCTCAATTTCTTCAGCCTTCCAATGCAGACTTGCAGTAGTGACTCCACAGTGCCCTTCTAGGCCTTTGCTTTTTGACTAGTTTTGCACCCTTGATTCCTCTTGTTGTGAGGCTTCCATCTTCTTGGGTCAAGCAGGTAGTGGATCCTCTGATTTTATAGCCTACTGATGGTCATTGTGAATTCTTCTGCATCGGATCCTGTAAGCTCAGCTAATAACCCCCCTTGTATAATTATGCATATATTTTCTATTGATTCTATTCCTCTTGAGAACCCTAGTTCATCTTAACTCAGAAGCTTTGAAATTTTTTAAAAAAATGTAATCGTCAGGTAGAAATGCATTTTCCACCATGATTCAAGATGCATTTACATGAAAAAATACACATATAAAGCATAAATTTAAATTAGTATATGAAAGAGTTGGTATAAAGAAATTTGTCAGCATACGTGGGAAGCACTCCAATCCCATCTATTCTGTTTATCTTAGGGAAAAAGTTAATGTTGGTCCCCAAAACTTGTTTTATGCCTCCACAATTTGAAAAACTACGGTTTCCATCCAACACCTGCTCAAACTGTTGTGAAACCTGTGTGAACATAAATGATGGTAACAGCCACTGCCTGTGAAGAGATGACAGTGTGCAGGAGAGTTATAAGAATAGTGTGATAAGCACGTCAGTTTAGTTGCATTAAGTAATTTCTAGCATAGAAAAATGCTAATAATTTCCAAGCCAATAATATCATAGAATAGTGGAGGATGTTGAGATCAATGGTTTTATTCTGTAAAAACACTGGGGAAGTACCTTCATGGTACAGGGAAGAGCAGATGTCAGGCTAAGGGCGTGAATAAGAGGAGTGACAAGAGAATGAAATGTACTTAGGGAAGCCCCCATCCACCACAATGGGGATGAGGCTGTGCAGGCAGAAAGGGGGCACATTAGAGGTCACTGCATTCCACACTAAGGATTTGAAGAGGCAGCAACCAGTAAAGAGAAAGGAAGGCTATGAACATATTTTTATCTGAAACTGCGACTCTTCCCTGGAATTTATCACAATGTCAGTGTACTTCACTGTTTCCCCTGGACTCAAAAATCATGCAGGGCAGGAATTCACTGCAGCATTTGTACTACCTGGACCAGTCACAATCCTGATTTTTTTTTTTTTTTTTTTTTGGTCTTTTGTGACAGGGTCTCACTATGCAGTTCAGGCTGGCCTTGAGCTCCCTTTGTAGCCCATGCTGGTCTCG